CTCTTTCCTTCTCTCTTGATCCTTGATGGAAGAGAAGGCGGGGGATGGTCGGCCGGTCAAGCCACATTCCGTACGCCAACCGACTCCTTGGGACCCTTCCTCCCCCTCTTTAGTAGACGGTTCCCTATATACAGGCTCTCGCCTCTTTATGAACCACCACGATATGTGCTCACGGAGAGCGCCAATATTATTTCGACTACGCGCGCTCCATGTAACCTTGCCAAAGTACGAACATCGCCGAATGTCTGCTTCTCGTCGCGGCACCTCTCTGCCCGAACGAGTTCCCGTCGAATAAATATCCTGTATCCGTCTGAGTTCATCGATTATCTGTCCAATCATATGGCAATAATATTAATGCTTCTCGGCTGTTTACTCGACAACTCTTCATATCGTTATAATACGAGATTCTCCAGGTTTTCTCGTGCTTCTCTTGATATATGAATTTATTGACGAAAATGGACTAGAGTATTTCTATAATTTTTTTTTAAATAAAATGTTAATATACACGTAACATTTTTCTCAAATTATGAATGAGAATATTGTGTAATTTATGGAAATTGTTATTACATGTTGAACTTAGACAATCGTACATTTCCTTTTCATTTTCGTGTGATTTTTCATCCTCGCTTTCACTCCTTATTTTTCCCGCATACTAGAATCTCTTTCGCAACAGCTGAGAGATTAAGGCAGCGGATATATATTCAACTTTTCCACGGTACGTCTGACTTATTCTGAATGTGAAGACCGGCTCCACAAATAGCCGACCGGTATGAGGATGAAGAGAAAGAAAGAGAGGCAGAAGGAGAGGGAAAATGAGAAAGAGTAATAGAAGATATCTAGGTCCGGTTTCGGAAGGTTCAAGATCCTCGCGCACACCTTTAAAAATTTATAGATCGCCACGAAAACAATTTACGTTGACGAAACTGTCGCTTATGAGCTGAACACGAGCTCGATTTTCGGTCATAATTTCAAGGAAATCTAATGGAAAATTAAGCTTAATCAAAACGAGATATTGTTATCGTATGGTATCCGCGCGAATTAACGCGAACGCTTGCGTAATTATTATCGGGTCACGATAAATTCCATTTACAAAGTCGATTAACGTGGTAAGAATTTACGCTTGTCCGAGTTTCCCTTAACGGCATGTGAATGATAATGCAGTCAGCTGCGGTTAACGTGCGACTACGTGGCAATACAGTTAACGTAATTAGCAGATACTATCGAGAGACATGACCGCGTCTCACGCCTGGTTCGTGCGAGAGAGCACCATTATATTTCCGAGTATGTATCATAATTTTATCTCTGAATAATATTACCGCGAAACGGTAGTTCGCGATAACTACACATGCAAGATAAATTTCAGGGTCGTAGACCACCCATACTTATTTTAATGTTAAAGGAATAAATATATATTATACTTTGAGCAAGAATTCACTCACTCTCTCTCTTCTTCTCTTTTTACAGTCGGAGTTAAATTCGAACTTCGAAAAATATTATATCGCATATATAATTTTATGTCCTGTCGGTTAAATAATTGCATGTGACTACTGCTTGTTGATCAGATAAAATCTTTCGATTTCAACGAATCATTACCTCCCTTCACCTCTCGTCTAATTCATTATTCAGGAATTATACATCGCTGAATTATAAATATGCTGGACGTGGCAATTGGATAAAATCTTTCGAGCTCGTGTATCATTCATAGATGATGAAGCTTGACATTCTACGTCATACGAGAACAAAACGTTAATAACTTTCAAGCGACACCCTCTAGTATAGGTCTACCTTCAAGGTCCGCACCGCTCGGCCATGATTCGATACACCTACCTACCTTCCGAGCCGCCCACGATACTCGGAAACTCCTCGCCACCGAAAAATCTCCACCCAAATGGTGTCACTGCTAGACCTTCGGGTCGAGAAAAGTTTCAAAAATCTCCAGTATGTGCATCAGATATATAGAGAAAAGGAGAGAGAGATAGAGAGAGAGAGAGAGAGAGAGAATTCGCCCACGCCAGGGCGCTATAAAAGTTGAGTTTAAACTTGCCCTTCTCAACCGCCTCCACCATCGCGCCACCACTGATTTCACCACCGGTGCATTCTCTCCCTCTCTGTCCCTTTACCTGCATGCCTGCACCGCTCGCTTCTTCTACATCTTCTTTCTTCTTCATCATCTTCGTCTTCATCTCCTCCTTCCCCTTCTCCTCGTTCTCCTCTTCATCTCGCCATCCACCCGCGATCTTTGCCTTCTCATTCCTCTTCTCTCTGACTTCTCGTCTCGCCTCCGCTCGGGGGAAGAGGGGGAGGAGGAGTGAGGCTACGCGGGGTCCCTCCATACAGACCCGTCGCGACAAGCCACGTCGAGAAGGCCCAAGAATGCATGGACACCGCGGCGTGGAAGGCGGTTGGCTACGAGCCGCACGAAGGGGAAACCTCTCGAGAGAGCCGGGTTTCCTCGACGGAGAGCGGCGGAGGACCTGCGTCAAGGGGGAAGGAAGGGGAAGGCGGCAAGAGCCTTCGCGGGGCCTCGAGGGCCACTCCGCGACCCGCCGGGTGGACGGGGAGAGACGGGGACAGGCGGCAGGGGCCCCAGGTAGGGGCCGGGAAGTGACCGGATGGCCTTGGTCCCGAGACTTGGTTAGTTACCGCGCGGCCGACTATAACCGGCTGTGCCACAGGGCGGTATCTCCGATTTCGACCGCTTTTTAAGACGACCGGACCACAGCTCCGCGCTACCAGGGTCCGACCGGCGGGGAGAGGGACGCGTCTGTCGGATAGGGAGAAGTACCAAAGGGACGACAAGGCGTGCTGACGGATACGCAAGACGCTTACGCGTGCGTGCGCGCCGAGAGGGCTGAAAATGAAGCTGCAATGGATGGGATTTTTGCGAAAATGTTTCCGTCGCGTACGATTGTGCAGAGACGCGCACATTTACAGGGATTTAATTAAATTTTTACTTTCTCTTTCTCTCTCTCTTTCTCTTTCAGCGATTCTCACCGCGGATGAGAATAGATTTTTACGGATGTTCTTATTAAAAAATGTTACACAAAGGCAATATCGTAGCGAATTGCAATAAAGAATAAATAGGCTAGTAAAATTTATGATTTGCTTCATGTATATTACAAAATGAAATCTTTCACGAGTTACAATTCGCGTTTGTGAAGTATATATCGCAATAATCGCAAAAATCGATTTAATCGTTTAATTGTAATTTATCAGAAAAGATTGGCACGCGTGGTATTTTATTACTCGATACCGCAATAATGAACGTTAACAATACAACGTGCGTAAGAATAATATATCACTTATCTCGACATGTTTTATTGGATAATGTAATGATTAATAGTTTACTATTGTAAAAAAATTGGAATCCTTAAAATCCTATATAAACCTGAAAGCTAATTGGTACATCTACGCGAAAATATAATATCATCCTAGGAATTTCATATATTCGATGCGCAAAAAATATTAAAATACTTTTAAATATATACATAATTCTGCAGATTGCGTAAACGTACTGCTATAGTTGTGTCAAACGCTTCAGAAATAATGAGGAATGTGAAATGCAACGTGCTATCTGCGCGCCCTTCCGCTCTCGTCGGCTTCCGTTTGTCTGATTTCGCGGAGAATCGATGCCTGTTGTTGTCGTATAAATTGCGAAATCGCATTCGTGAGACTCCTCGCGTATAGCCGGGAGGGACTCCTGTCCGGAGCAAGAATGAATAGCCTGGTTACTTATCCACCATCGCGCTCATTATTGCTCAACAGGGGCAACTTATGAGAGCACAAGAAGGTATATCTGCGCAACGCGTACAATGAGATATACAGAGTGTAGAAAAAAGTCTCGTTCTCTCACGAGCATTCTAAGCCGGATGAAGAAGAACATTAATCTTTTTTAATATTGAGAACGTCATTAGATTTTAAACTGAAATTGATTGAAAACGAGAAATTTTTAAAGGTCAACGAGTTCCAATCATCTCAGTTAAATGTCTATCGAGTTAGTAATTCTCTCAATGAGTTTGTAAGTGTCATTTGTATTCTTAGACGATTTCGTCTAAACTTCACAGATCACTTGACAACAGACATGTCCATACGAAATATCACTATTGAAAACTTTATTTTTTACTGACAACACTTAAGATACTAGTAATTAAATTATAGCGATAGTAGTAGTTGATATTATTAAAATTTTATCTTTTTTCGACCAAAGGTGCAATTTGTAGGCGATCCGCGAAGATCTTACTATAATTAAATTACTACCGAAGTAACATAAATTAAGAACATTTTATGAGTATTTTTACTTAAATAATGCTTTTCCGCAATTAGTGAGTGATTAATGATGCAGGATATTAACTTTATCACATGTAATTCGTAAGAATATCTTGTAAAGATCCACAAATAACATGTATACATAATTATTTTTTCGCTGTTATAATTTATTTCAGACTGTAAATAAACGTAGCACACGCAATAAGTTCAAAGTTTTGCAAATCAAAAATTATCATAGATTTCGTTTAAACTTAAATTTTTAGTTTTCACAAATGAACAAATAGATATTAATTATATTGTATGAAGTAAATTCGAAAATGAAATGGAAGAAATATAATTTTTTAAATCAAATCTCTTATTTATTTTAACCCCTGTTCAATATATATATTTTATCATATTAGTTTTTTATTTGTTTAGTCTTCTTTTTAGATACTTTTTGGTTTCTCTTTTGAATTTAAAATGGAAATTTATCTTTACACTTTGTATCTCTTGCGGAAAGAAAAGCATGTATTTATTAATTATTCTCAATTTATTCACTAAATATGGAATGTTTGTTTTAAATAAATTAACAAATAATTTAGCCAATAGAGAATTAATTCTATTTTTCAAAAAAATGTAATATTTATATAAATGTATATTTTTGGAAAAAATGTAATATTTATATAAATGTATATTTTTGGAAAAAATGTAATATTTATATAAATATATATTTTTGTTTATGTATTATATATTTACCTACATCGTATTCATTTTCTATCTGTAATTTCTCTTCTATATGTAATTAATGTATCCATTCTTCATATTCTTATGTGAAATGTCGCCATAAAATCGGAGGCTCTAGTTACAACGTGCTCGAATTCGAGGAAAGATAGAGCTTCATCGCTGTCTATGTCGCTCTCTTCCAGAACTTTTTGACACACAGTAGTCACCTCTTCGGCACTTAGCCCACCTCGAGTCAGCTGCCGACAGGTGCGTTCCAAATCACCCATACCCAATACCCCGTCCTCGTCGAAATCTGTTCATGGAAAATTACAGATTGATCGTAAAGATGAAGTATAAAAACAATTATCAGAATATTATCAAAACGAGAAACGCGAATTTAAATACTTAAAATATTTAAATACTTAAACAAATATTTTCTCGAGATTCTTTTCTTCTATCGAAAATACATTTCATTTCACTTAAGCTCATCCATAAAATATTTATGAAAATTAAAAGCAAAAAAATATAACGAGACAAAAACGCAATTTATGGCGAAAGGAAAACGTTTCGCTCGAAGGAGGGTATAATTATGACGCGCTGCACGTCGGCAAAATCGATCGGTTGTTCCGTGCAAATATTCTCGTGCATCATGAATGTCGTGTCTGAACGCCGTATGTACTTCTCATCCCACGGAACTATAGGTACAGCGAGGTCGACCTCCAGGCTCTCTCACGGTTCGCTCGTCCGTCCGTCCGTCCGTCCGTCCATCCGTCCGTCCATCCGTCCGTCTGTCTGGTTCACCTGGTGGTCCATACCGTAAATTTTAAAGGCGTAAAAGACTTTCAGATCCCGCGGTGCTTGCTCAGAGAACACAGACATCATCTCGAGGAATTCCTCGAAGCAGATTCCTTCGGAGATAGACGTCGAGTGTCCTGGATCCTGGCGTCGTGTAAAGACTTCCGAGATCCGTTCTCTAAATGGATTTTCCTAAAAATGAAAGAAGAAATATTTTAGTAGAGAGAAAATTTAAAATTAAAGTAAAAACTTGATTTTATTTTGAACTAATATATAAAATAAATATAATACTTATATACACATTATATGTACATATATTTAACACAGGTGTGCATATACATACGCAAAACGTCTATCTGAAGCGAACAGAAAATATAAAATTATACATTCTAATTAACTCTGTGTGATTAAATTGAAAAATATATATTTATATAAATCTTTATATTTGATAAATCTCTAAAATAATAATAAATTACATAAATATACCTTAATGTTTTCTTTACTAAAACAATTTATTATAAAATAAAGATTTAATACAAATATATTTTTTTATTATTTTTTAAATTAATTATGTATTAGAAACATAAACCTTTAGTTCAGGAATACGAGCTAAATACGACAGGGGTAAACGAAGAGACGATGCTTGTTGCGGCGTCATAATACGTGGTATCATTCCAGAATCTCCTATCGCCCGGAATTTTTTAAATATTCTGAAAAAAAATGGAAAAAACTTCAATAAAACAGCGATTTGAATGTCTTTTACTGATAATAATGGAAGAACTTTCAAGATTTGTTTTCTAAATGGATTTTTCTAAAAATGAAAGCTGAAACATCTTATGAGTGATTACCTCAAGATTTCCTTGCGCGTAAAAAAAGTACAATCCTGATAATCTTCGAGTTGTTCTTCGGTGAATGTTGCTACTTTATTACCCATTAATTTATTTTTTATCTTTCTGCGAAAAAATGCTGGACTCTAGAATATTAATCTTTCACTTTACACGAATAGTTTTTTTATATATATTAATTTTTTTTACGAAAGAAATAAATTATGTATTATAAAAAAATTACGTAGATAGGAATCTCATAAAGAAATCGAATTAAAAAGGGCTGTTACATTTACGGAAGAACAACGAGGACTGAGTTTTCACATTCTTGATGTTCAATGCGAATTCGTGCAATCTAATAACCAGGGTGTGTCCTGCCACTCCCATCTTTAGGGACGTCCCGATTCTGAAATACTACTTCTGATAAGATGAGAAGTTATGACCTACTTATACACTTTATTGTGAACTGTATAATGATTGTTATTCTTTTTAATATCGACTGCGTGAAACTAATATTAATCATATTAAACATTCATATCTAATATAATTCTAAGGAGATGTTATCAAATATTAATTTTAAAATATACGAGAAATATATATTTTTATATAAAATAAATATACAAATGTTTTAATAAATATATTACAAAGAGCTTTATTATATAGAAAAAATCGCAAGTAATCGCAAATTTTGCAACAGACATCAGCATTATTAAAATTATATAGCCGAACGTGTTTTACTTATACAATAAGTTAATTTTCCTTTAAATATAATTATCTTCATATGCCTCTTTACAATCAGCCAAACTATGAACACATTCCGTGAACTCATCTTCTTCCAGTCCAGAGTCTGTAAAGGCATGAAATTTCTTGATACTTTTTATTCTTTTAGTTTGTTTAAGCAGAGATTCGTACATTGCTGCAATACTATTGCCACTATGCATCCCAGCCATCACTGCAACTGAGTTTACATCTAAAAAAAATGAATAATATCAATATTCATCATTCAGTATTCATCATTAATTTTCTGTACTAATTTAAAAATATATACCTGCTCCTATGGGCCATTCGGCGATATTACCATTCTCGGTTACATTATTATTGAATATCTTCGGATAAGGTAAAGAAAGTTTCAGTGGTGCCTCAATATTGGATAAATATGTAGCTGATGCGTGACATGTGCATGCTAAATAGAACGTCATCATTTCATGTACACTGGAGCATTTATATGCTGGTTTTGATATCTGTTTGTTAGCTTCGTGAATAGGTCGCTTTATTCTGTCCTCTGAAATTCCACGCAACACTATACTTTGCATATTGTTATCCATCGATATGTCGCAGCTCGGTGTTAGACTGGTCCATAGAGGTCCCTCAAATTCATCCAATATATCTATTAAATCCATTTTTACTTTCATAGGAAATGGTAGATTCAAACTTGTCGCCGTTGCTTTGCGCCCTAACTTGTTTAGATCAGCGCATAAATCAGACAAACTGGCATTCGGATATCTCTTAGTTCTATATCTTAATGTTAAAGTATCCAAAGCAGTTGCTAATATCGCACTACTGTGATATTTTAGTTCCGGGCTATATGTTATATTTTGGAATTTACGCGAATCAGCTCCGAACGGCCATCCGACTTGTCCACAAGAAAGTGGACTGTAAAGCGATGAGTATTCTCCAATGTGTTGCCAGCATAATGCTGTATTGACAATTTTAATTAAATCCGACGCACTAGGTTCGGCATTGTTAAAGTCTAGACATGGAAATGTCAAAATACTCTTTCCAAACTCATCACGTAGATGCTGAATGCAAGATGCTCCAAGACCAGCAAAACCATCAGTAGAATCCATAAGCACCTATTGTTTTAAAATAATTATGCTAATAACACGGCATAAATAATTCTAACATAGATATATAATGTACAATATAGATATATAATATATAATAAAATATATAAATATATACCTGAAATCCTTGCATTAAATCACATTCTTCTACATATAATCGTATTCTATCTGAAAAGTCATCGGAGAATTGTTCTGTGGTCCACAAATCGCGACCATACGTAAATATATTAAATGATTGTTGTGTACAATTGTGTAAATACTTTTTGATAACTGTCACTGTCCTTGGATGGAACAATGGTAAAGTATAGTCGACCCATGATTTTACATCATTTTCAAAATTGAAAGATCCTGTTTCTACAGTTTCATTGGATTTATTCAAACTTTCAATAAAAGGTGTTCTAGGACTAAGTTCAGCACTGGTAATTTCTAATTTTGTATCATCCCATAACAGCTGATTATCTGGATCATCTGCTGTATTATATAAAGAACCTTGCTCACTCAAATAACCTAGTGCTCCTTTTAAATCTACTAATAATAGTCTTGGTGTAAATGTAACTTGTTTCTGAAACATAACTATCTCATTGTAATTACTATTTTATATTATAATGTTATTGCTATTTATAAATTATATTTTTGATTGATGAATGATAGATGGTTTAAAGATATAATTATATATATTTGTATATTGTTGTAAATATATCTGTACATAAATGCCGACATACATACAAAAGCAATTTTATTTGTTTAATTATATTTACCTGCGTATTTTCACCTTCTCTATACAAAACATCATGATTTATTTCAGATGGATGCTTTGGATCGTATGTAAAGTTAGATTCCTGCAATGAAAATCTTATAATCTTATTGCAATCTTAAACATTTTAAAAGAGAGAGAAATTTGTAATAAAAAAAATTCTCTCATAATTTTGATACCTTTGTAATAAAAAAATTAACATAATTTTCATACCTGCAAATTCCACCAATGTGTGCCGATATAATTAGAATAATGACCCAATTGAATGGTCAATATCTCTCGTGTTGTCATATTTTACAAATTTATTTCTATAGAAGAATATATAAGATCATATAAGATTCCTTCTTCTCTAAATGTTTATTAGATTTCCGTTATAAAATGTAGAATCATGATTTTGACATGAGGTTATCTTCTATGGTATTTATGAAATTGTATTTAATATACACAATCGGAGTACGTTCGGAAATTCTATTCGCGCAGTAGAATAGTATTGATCAATCAGAAACGAAGAATTCTTTGTCCCCTGATTGGTTAATTAAATGTCTTCTCGATGATTCCCATTTTCATGAACAAACATTGAGGTAGATAGAGAATTTATAGAGTTTCTAAAGAATTTCTAAAATTCTCTATTCAATAACCAATCAACTTCGCCTAGTATGACGATCGAATCCGCGTAATTTTAAATTTTTTAATTTTACACACTCAGACGCACACACAAATGAGAATTAAAATATATAATAAATTCGACTTCTATGGATTATTTATAATAAAAAACTTTGATTTCTTTATCGTTACATATATTCTTACGAACTTACAAAATTAAAAATAAAAATTACGATTAAAATTATTATGCAGTGATTCCAATCAGTGTGTTAATATAAGAAAAATCGTAGTATATCAATTAATAAGACATCGTTATTAATGATATTATATAATTTAATACAAGCAATATGTATATATTTAAAATGCGACGAATTTCAAATATTAACAACGAGAAAATGTTTAGTCTCATACAAAAAAAAATCACATAATCAAATAACAAATAAAATAAAAACAAATAAAATAAAATTACATAATCTCTGTTATCACCACGTATTACGCATGCATATATGTGTATATATATATATGTGTGTGTGTTTATCTTATTCATATCAAGTTTCCTCTTTAAGGCAAACCGCGGGACTTCCCCAGTATTATAAACCGTTTCCTTTGTTTAATGTGATGCGTAAATATATCAGAATAAGATTTGGCTGCGTTCCAGTACTCACTGCTAGTATTTAAAATTTATAGTTTACGTGACGTACACTTATAGTGCTATAAAAATAATAAATAATGTCATTTAAAATTGATTGTGAAAATTTTTCTAAAGATATGCTTCCAAAATTAACGCTTAAATTAATCGGACATTATAGTATTGACGGTGATTTACAATATCATGCCGATTTATCGCAACTGAAATATTATATTCCTCCTCCAGATCTTGACAATGTATTTTTTGATCTTAAAAAAAATTCGACTTTTACTCATTACAAACCTACTTCATATATCAAATTGGATGATATATTAAGATGGATTTCGGACAATTTTAAACTACTTGAAAAACCATTACCACAAGATCAATGGTATGTTGTTAAACAATCATTCAAATATATAACTTGCATGTGATATATTATTGGAATATACATATAACATAGATCTGTGTACATGTATTATTATATCCTCTGTACATATATTATAATTATTTATTATTAATAATATATATAGCAATTATTGCATAATATATGACATGTACTATTACTTTTGTATAATTAATAATATTAATTAGGTTGGATACTGATTTTATTTGTCGTCGTGGTGCATTAAAAGTAATATTAAGCACTCCATATGAAAGATGTAAAGATTGGATTATTTGTGCTAGCAAATACCGTGGTACAATATATTTATGCGAATTTTACACAGATGAAAAAGAATATCAACATGTTAATACAACTGCAGAAACAAAACAATTAACTTCACAAGGATTCAAGTTTGAACAATATATGGTAGCAGGTATTTTAAATTATTATGTATATGTATACATTTGATTGTTACAATTTAATCCAATTATTTTTACTTTAAAAATACAATAATATAATTATTTCATTTATATAATTAAATTGATCATGAATAATATACAATTTTATTAGATCAGCCATCGTATCAACCAAACACATCAGTACCTCTTAATGAATGTGAACAATTTTACTGCATATTTAAAACAAATTTTGGTCATCATTCATTAGTATACGAAGCAGAAATAGATGGTATTTCTTCACAACAACATATAACAGATACACTTATTGGCAAAACATTTGAAATGATTGAGTTGAAAACATTATCAATAAGACAGTATAATGAAATTGGTACAAACCAGCACTATAAATATGGCACAATTCGTGTTAACAAAGTAATTACATGGTGGAGTCAAAATTATTTGGCAGGAATAGAGAGACTTATATGTGGATTAAGAAACAGAAATGAAGAAGTGAGAATGATAAAGGAATTCTCTACACATAATTTGCCACAACTTTCAAAAGTAATTCCTTTAAAAATATATGTTTATAAACATTATATATTTATGTACATATTAATTTGTAATTATTTACTATTACAGCCTTGTTGTAATGTGGACAAATGTAAAATGTTTTTCAAAATATTTCTAGACAATGTCAAAAAAATTGTCACCAAAGATCATAATGAGTGCATGTATAAGTTTTATTTTGATGCTTCCAATAATGTTATAAATTATAGTGAAGAAGCTGCTAATGATGAAAAGTATATCTTCTTAAAATCATGGTTTGTTAAAAAAGCAGAAAAGTACAACGATACTTTTCAATAAAAACAATTCTTAAGAATATCTTTTATATAAAGAAAGATTTTATATAAAAATGTTTATAATTCTCTTTTATATACGTATAAATACTTATAAATCTTTTTTAAATACTATAAATCTCTTTTATATAGATGTATTATGTGAAAAAATATGTCAATATTTCAAGATGGTGTATATCTTATAAATATATTGTATTCCATATGGATAGATATGTAAGTGATATAAAATTAATAAAATGATTTCTAAAACAAGTGTATTTTACATTGAAGTGAAAGGAATATGACTTTCTTTTTTTTATAGAATATTTTAATAATAACTTTTCAGTTTTTTAATATACAATAAAAATTATTTTATATTTTATACAAACGTTTTTAATTAAACAAATATAATAAGTTAACATATTTACTTTGACACTTACTTGAACAAAATGAAAATTTTATTACATATGTTTATCACACACTTCGACCTAGAACTTGTTGTATTGCATCCATCTCTTTATGAGACATAGGTTCTAACATCAATCCAGGTACTGGTGGAATCAATTCTAAGTCACGTAATTCATTTACTTTTATCTTTAAATCACTTCTTAATTTATTAATTGCAGTACTACATTCTCTCTGATCTGAAATGCCCATAATGTTATTGCAGAATATGAAAATTATAGAATGTAAATAGATTTCTTTTTCTTTTAGAACCTTACCTTTTTCGAGCAATTCTTCAGCTGCTTTAGATGGCATCTTTAAGAGCAATGGACCCACTGTTATCCATGTTTTTTCATGTGAGTGTTTTTGTAGTGCTCTTATTCCAATGCGATCGTCGTTTCTTCTTTTATCCAGAGCGATTATTTCTTTGCGATCAGTGAGAATTTCACCAGCTTTATCTTCAACTTTTTCTAAGTGTTCCAGTAATCTTTGATGTTCACTCATTATCTCTGTAACACATTAATAAATTTATATATTATGTTTATTTCAACTATTAAATAATGAAAACTCTTTCGATATATCTGAAATTTTCATTCTTTTTATATTTTAATAAAATAAACACTAAGTATTTGTGTTTTTTATAGTTTTATTAACGCATATTAACATATAAGAAAAAATTTGATATATATATATAGTATTTATGAAAAAATAAAAATTAATATTAATATATGCATTATTTTGATTAAGAAATATTGAGATTAAACTTACAAATATAGATATATAAGAACAATAATAATTATTTTCATTGTATTCAATCTTCAAGTAAACATATATATATTACATTCACATTTATAAAATTATTCATATATATATTTTAAGATAATGCTATACGTAAAGCTCTTTCTTTTCTGGCTTCTCTGTGAAGTAGTTTTTCCCTGTCCCTTTTTTTCAAAGGTTTTTCTCTTTGTTTAGGTGTTTTAATATTATTAATGGCAGTAGTATCACCCGGCTTGAAATGGGTAACTTTATATTCACTTTCCACCGGTTGTCCTAATCCTTTGCGATCCGTTTTTAAACATGTTTTAATTGGATATTTTATTCCTCTTCCAGAAGGTCCAAGACCAACTTCTTCATCCCATCCTGTATTCAAAAGCATTCTATATCCTTTATTTTGTCTTGATATTCCATATATTGCATACTTCAATTTTGGCTTTGTATTAAAGATGTGCAAAGTAGAGCTTTCATGTTTTTGCTGTGTTGTTTCTTGGAAAGTTGCTTTACACACATCGCAGTAAAATATTGGGTTGTGTTGTAATTTCATTTTGTCTTGTGTAACATTGTAAACATCATGTTCCGAAGATTCCATAGATATTGCTTTTATTGATAAAGCATTTGTATTATTTACTTTTGGAACAGTTATCAATGATGGATTATTATTATATATTGATTCAGATTTCTTTTTTAATAGCGCAACTATACTTAAATAATTTCTTTTCAAAGCTAATTGGGCTGCAGTAAGACCAGACTTATCCCTAATTCTTCTATTAGCCCCAAGATTTAGCAAAAACTGTACAATTTCTAAATGACCACAATAAGCAGCAGACATTAATGGAGTCCAACCAAAATCGTCGCATACATTCACATTTTCTGATGTCATATGTTTTTGTAAAAATTTTAAATCCTTTTGTTCTACTGCTTTTAGCAATGTATTAATTGTGACTTTTATTAAAATATCTTCAGAAATTGTAGTCTTCTTCGATTGTGTATTAATGAAAGCTTGATTTGTGTCAGAGTTGCTTTGGTTTCCAACAGTTTTTGATTTTAAGTACTTTAATTTTGGTGTCATAACATTGCTATTACTAATTTGGTGGATAACTTCTTCATAAGCAGCCTTTGCTTCATTTCCTTTGAAGGCCAATTGATGAATACATTTCTCTGGAGATTTATCCTGTACACTAGAGGACTCCTTGACAAATGTTTTCCATGGTATATCAATGGTATGTCGTATATGCATCCATTGTTCTAAAGACATTTTTCTAATATTTACTGGACATAGGCCACACTGTTTTAAATTTATTTTTGTCAAAAATTATATGGAATCTCTATAATAATATATTTTGTTAATGTATTAGTCTTCTTCAACAATCACAATATGTACATTTATTATTGCAACACATAGTATATGATATTGTTTCTTCAAAAGTTGGTCTGTACAAAGTAATAGTAACTGGCACCAGATAAGTGATATGACACTGCATATGACACGTATTTGTGAGCAATATGTTGCTCTGCACCTTGTATCTCCGTAATATCAACTTTTCGAAAAAGATGCTTCAAAATAGTAGCAGTTTTGGACTCGATATATATTGTATGTACGTAAAAGCTCAAAATCTTATTATCAATATAAAATATCAACAGCAAAATTTACCTTTGCTACTTTGCCTTATTGCGCTATTATATCTTTCGTTTGTCAATTTATTATTTTACAATCAGGATTCAGGATTCAGGTTCTCTGTCTTTGATAAAATTCTCGTCCATCAAATAGTGACAACGTAAGACAGTAATACAACTATCTGCAACTATGTGCATTTTTATTCCCTAGAAAGCGCCATACTATTTTTTCTAAATGGTCGCTTGTGATTCGTTGCTCCAGTGCATAAATGTAAATCCACTGTAATATGTGGCTTGAAAATGAGACTTGTATCTTGTATGAAGATGGATGAATGTGGTATATATATGTATGTACATAGGAGTTTATGAACGAAGGTTAGAAATTACTACCGGCGGTCGCGTGGTGTACACGCTAGTTCAGGTATATGAATTTTTTTTTACTTGTAATTGAGATATAGTAACAGTTAAATAAAAAGAGCATGGCTTTGCCAACTTGGGCGAAGATAGGAATTGGATGGTAGGTGTGTATGACATTTCGGAAAGTTTCTGATTGATTATTCCTCGTGTAGGATTCTCGCATATCATGTCGATCGTTAACCTTAGATATTGAAACTGATGATTATTTCACCCAAGACGCTTGATGATTTTAAATGTCTGTATTTTATTGACATTTGCATAGTTAAAAGAATTTTACATAGATTTTTACTAGCTTATTTATAAAAAAAACATACATTTCATAAAATAATAAATTTATACTATTTACAGGTCTATAATCACTGTCATAGGAACTTACGCATTTGTGCTATCTAAACGAAGTGTCAATGCCAGAAGATATGAAATTATGAAAGCTAGACAACGTTTGCGCGAGTCCAATGTTGTAGATTAATTTATGATTAAGAAATAAGGAATTTAAAGAAGATTATTAGAGTGCAAAACTTGAAGGATGGCAGCGTTACCACAATTGGACGAAGATAAACTTAAATTGGTACAGGAATTAGAAATAGAAATGATGTCGGATATGTATAATCGTATGACATCCGCATGTCACAGAAAGTGTATAGCACCAAAGTATACCGAGGCTGAATTAGGTAAAGGAGAATCGATATGTCTGGACCGTTGTATCGCTAAATATTTAGATGTTCATGAACGTATCGGTAAAAAACTTACACAAATTTCGATGCAAGAAGCAAAAGTTGCAGAGCAATCAAAGACAAGTTAAGTTATTAATTAAATTTGATGAGATTTTTATGTAATCTCTTATAAGTTGCCTTTAATTATTCTAATTTTAAAGGCTCCATGTAATTTAGAAGAACAGATAAAATACAGTCATTCTGTATTTAATTTAGTTTATGAATAAAACTACTTTATGAAACGTTATAATTCTTAATTTTCCAATTTCCCAAATATTTTAATATCTCCTTTTATATACATGGACACAAATATGTAATATAATATTTTGTTAATATAAATTTAGTTTAAAATTTAATTTATTATGAATAAAGGGAAATGTTTATTTATATTATTATTATCATACTATTAAAGACTTTTTAGAGAAATTATGATACAGGTAAATGATACATTTTATTTACAAATAGTTTATTTTCAAAGGAAGTATTTTATATAATTAATAGATTGTATACACAACACACAAATCCAAATGGAAATATAATAATGTATATTATGTATTAACTAATTTTAAAATCATCTAGATTTTCATTAAACTTAAATGGTATAAAAAGTTTGTTAAAGTGCTATTATAATTTTTTTGTATACATTTAATTTTTATTAAATATTCAAAATATAGTATCTTGTCCATCTAAAGTATTTATTCATGTATACTTTTAGACATAAATTTTGATTTACAAGTAGAAAAATTTATTTTTCAACAATACATGTATATAATAGAAAGTAGTAAATAATAATGTAACAAAAAATCAATATATGTTAATTATTGTAAATATGATTTGGTGAAATTCATGGCAGCAAGAATTAAAAACTGTACAAATTTAAGTGTTACAAATCCCAGAAGAATTGATAATAACAAATGTGTGTTTAATTTTTCTTTCTATTTAAAGTTTAATACCAATAATAAGACCGATGAAAATAAATTTATTTTTGTTTGTTGTCCAATTCGTATCACATATACATTTTTTGAAATGTGATACTAATATTAACCAGCAGTTTTGTCTTTTACCGGACGAGTCGTTGCCAGAGCTAAAGTATGCTGACCTCCGCCACTGACTCGTACTACTGTCTTACCTTCTAATTGTTTTCCTTTAACTAATACTGGTTCATCGACATCTTTTACATCTCCTGTTCCAAGGTTTCCGTTAGTTCCTGTGCCCCATGAATATAAGTCACCTATTGTAATAAAATATAGAGCATTGTATAAAATCGACTTTTTAGAGAATATTGATATCCACATTATTTACCTGATTCCGTAACAGCGAAAGATTCTCTGCTACCTGCACCCACATCAATACATTTAGCAGAGCTTAAAGTAGGAACTAATGTAAGTTCTTCTGCATCCAAGCAATTAGGTCCGAGTCCAAGGCGACCATATTCTTTGCGACCCATCACATAAACTTGGCCTGCATCATCCAAGGCTATAGTATGATGTTCTCCACTGCTGATATGTCTCCATATTTTACCGCTAAAAGTTTTTGATATTTGTGGATGAAAGTTGATTTCACTATTTTTTAAACCTGAAAATTTTCCAATAAATTAGATCTCGATAAATTATATGATATTTAAAATTGAAAAGTATATGATTTTTAAATATATATATCTTACCAATTTGATGAAAATTATTTAGACCAAATACATATATGTCTCCTTTTTGATACTCCTTGGCAAATGTACAAAAATTTCCTGCCCATATATCATCAAATTGCAACTTCTTACTGATTTTAAATTCAACTATGCCTGGAGTCAGTAGCAGACCTATTCCTTGTCGTGAATTTCTACTGGCTGTTCGTGCAGCTACTCGTCCTAATTGTCCTTGTTCCGCGCGTCCGCAAGTATATATACGTCCATTTTCACTAAGTAATACTAAATGATCACTACCTGATGCTATTTTGACAACTTTTACATTAGGTAATATTTCTACAGGGAATCGTTCATTCCCTCTAGCCGTTAGTCCCATAGAACCATGTGTATCCTAAGTTACAAATTTTGTACATTAATATTTCCTTTCAATTAACACTGTATTACAAATAAACAAAGATTATACAAATTAATAAAAAGAACATACCCTAAATGTGCCCCATGCAAACACTCGACCATCTTCTAACAATGCAGCCGTATGCGAATCACCCGCTGTTACTTGAATGGCTTTCTCAGGTAATTCAACTGCGCCTGGTACTGTCTCAGATCCTTCCTTAGTGGTGTCTCGTCCAAGTGCTCCCTCATCATTACATCCAAAGGTTAATACTTCACCTGTCTTTCTCAAACATACATTATGCATAGCACCAGCTGCTATAGCTATAATATCTTGATACTCAGATATAGCTGCTGGACGCATCTTTTCTGTAACATCTTCTCCTAATCCAAGTTGTCCAAAGTCACCTTGTCCAAATACAAGCATAACACCATTGGTCGAAAGTGATCGTAAGTCAGGTTTCACAGTTATTTCTGCAAAATAAAATTTGTACAAATTTATACTTGTGCGCAAGTGATTTTTTAAATATATGAACAACACATTGATCTGTCGAAACTTGTGCCATTCTTCGCAAACATTAATATCTTCGCCTTCAGTCATAATATAAATGACTCTGCGAGAAATGATTTCTTACATTCTTGTAAACATGCTCGTTTGTAACGTACTCCATTACACGTATAGGTTACGCATAGTGCTAGGAGAACAAAAAAAATTTTTTTAATAAATGAAAAAATTATTAATCGACATACCTTGCTTCTGCTTGATCTGCTTCGGAGGCTTTTCCGCCTTCGTGGGATCCACGGCCGTCCGTTTCGCGGCTCTCCTTGGCGGCACTACAACATTTTCAGGTTACATTTGCAAACGTGCTCGTAAAACGCTTATTATGACTGTCACACGCGACTCAGCGGGCGCTTTTAATATAGTCGTTTATACATGTACTTACTTCTGCTGGTATTTTTCGTGAGTCGCGAATGTATCCGGTCCCTTGCTCCGTTGGCGCCAAAAGTTACGATGCTCCTCTCCTCGCTTTACGATTGTTGCGCAACTCGTGAAGTACGTCGAAGATGGTTTGCACGGCGCTAACAGCTGCTTCAATGGCTCAGGTGATTCTCATTGGCAGATTTGAATGTGTAGCTGTTGCATTCATTGGACGGGGACACGAGGGCTTAAGGTAAAACTCACGGCGGTGATCAACCTTCTTCAATAGCAGGTGATTCTAGATGAAGGAGTGATTTTTCTCGAATCGTCATTCAGACCGATATGTATCAATGTGTATCGTACATGACGATTACCCGCCAAAATGCGCGCCATCTTCTGAAATGTTTCTGAAGTTTCATTAAAAAAAGTATTCTCGAAGTAGTCTCGAAAAAGTAAGTCTTCTTATATACATATATGTGTGAATAAACGTTTATTCGTTCGCAGAAACGCTAATAAAATTAAGGTTTCTTAAAATCGTGAGTTTCAGAAAGAGATAAAAAGCATTTCTGACAGGTATTTTCACGTGCGATATATTTGTTTATAAAGCTATTCGTTTTTTCCGTCCCGCTTCTTTCATTTCTCGCGAGATATGAGATATTTTGTAAACAAGATATTTTTGTAAAATACACTTCGTGTAAAAATATTCGCAGATTTTTAAGCTTTATTAGAGTTCGTAAATCGAGTTTGATAGATATTTTTCATTTATACACGAATGTAAGTTGGATCGTAAAAAATGTTGCGAGCTCCGGTAACGCGATTAATATTTTGCAACTCTCGTAAATTAACAAACAAGAGTGAACGCTGTTCTCCGCAGGTACATGTTACAATGAAGCTTTGTATAAAACCGACTGTGGTATGTTAAGAAAGTTTTGGATTCTGCGGTTTAATATCTCGACCCTTGCTAGGCTAACATCGTTTTCTGGCGGACAAAACTTAATATCGTGGAATATTAAAAGGACTTTTAAGACTAGTACTCTCTCTCTCTCTCCTCTCTTATGGCATAAAATCAAGAGGCAACGAGATACAGAGATTTAACGGCTTTATTTTGCATTTTTGAAATATTATTTACAATTTAAACGACGAAGAATTATTTTGCTCACATATTAATATACGTTACTCGTTATGTAAAAGCTTATGAATCGATGTTTGTGGACTTATTTTCAAGTAACAAATTTTGCATCATGATTATGAAAAAAAGAACATTTAAAAAAAAGCGAATGTATAATAATATTTTGTTTTTATTCTTATTATGACAATTATATTGCTGTTAATATTTTATTAGCTACATTCTATTATTTACACATTATTTTTCTAATTATATCATTATATTTCTCATATCTTCGAATATATATCATAATATAGTAATTCCATACGATGTACTACAATATAAATGAATCATCAAACATGTTAATCTAAAGATATGCTCCACTTGACTTGAAAAAATTAAAAATATTTCAAATCGCATTTGGTGACCAATCAGAGAACAAGGATTTTTGTCGCGACTGATCGATGAACACATTCACATTAAGTGAAGTACACTTTACGTATGCACTTTTGCTAGAAATGAGTCACGTGATCTATCGGAGCGAAGACGTAGTAGTTGATTAGTTATGGCGACTCGGAGAAAACTGTGCGCGAACGGTTCCCTTTTCGATGAGTGAAATTTGAAATTCGGGGATTTGGCCGATCGAATAAAAAACCGTCTGTTATAATCGCCAATCAAGCCGAACGTGTATACGATTATGTGAGTTATCAATCGGGCCGCGATCTCGTTAAAGATACGACGATTCTTTTGCGGACGAAGACTACTTGTGGCGCGTGAAGTTGCCGACATTTGCAAGGTAATTCAATACTTGAAATCGTTATAATTTGAATCTTCTTTTATAAATAACGGAAAAGATGCTATTATAGATGTAAAATCACCATGTATTATTAGCGTTAAGAGTAGATTTTCATTTAAAGTCGCGGATGTAAACAATTTTATTGTCAAAATTCCAACTGTCAATGATTTCTTGAACCACCGAAACTACCACCGTTTCTGAGAAGCTTATATACGTTACTTCAATACTTTTTCTCGATTCGAGATCGTTCCTAATCTTCTTCGAGAGGAAGAAGGGATGCGAATTTGTTTATCTTTCAGGAAGTGTCTCATAAATCTTGCCGGTCGCTCGTCTTGACAACGGGCGCGAGCGAGATAGAGCGAAATTTTATGAAGCCAGTTATTTCGTATGTGTGTGTGGCTTTCGCATTAGATAAGGTTTAAAACTCGCTCGCGCTTGAAAAACAGGGGAGAGATAACTCGTGATCTTTTCAATAAGGGGAAAAATGAAAAACAATGACACGCGAGAAAACGCATCCTTATACACGTAATGTCTTAATATATTTGATAAACTTCACATTCTATAGAAATCCACTTAACGTTGATTTCAGGTAATTTGGTGTATCTTGATCGAAGAACGAACGTCCACAGGGAGCACGGAAAATTAAACCGGATTTTCGGGAAATTTGTTCGCGTTTGGTGCGCGCGGTCGCGATTCCCAATAAAACGCGAATTAGCATGCGACGGAGGATGACCGCGGGAGTGCGCGTGATGCGGCGGTGGAGAGGGGGGGGACGGAAGGGAGCAGAGGGTGCCGGCCGGTATCGGAGAGGTCGCGGAAGCGCGCCAGTCGACGCCAGTCGACGGCGAGACTTCGCCCGCGTAGCTTCTTCCTTTGCCTTTCTCTTTCTCTCTTTCTTTCTACGCTACGTCCATTCGTCCGTCTATCTGTCTGTTGCTTATCCTTGTGAAAAATTTCCGCGATAATCGAGGCGTGGAATTGAATCTCCCTTTTTCGCGCACGAACGTTCCCGCGAGGTATTCGCAAAAGAGTGGAAGACATCACGTGACAGCCGCGTGAAAGACGCGGGACCATCGGCGAAACGATCCTCAAGAGTGACATCTGCGGACGTGGATCTTCGCCTCGTGGAACGGGATCGTTTGATGTAGAGCCGAGGAGCTATGACGAGGACGACGCGCCGATTTTTGCTGCTGTTGCAGATGCTGATAGGGGGTGAGTGACTTTGTTTTACACGTACCTTGTGCCTGGAGAACGTACGCGAATATTGCGGGACCATTGAGGAGCGATCGTTACGCTTCCAATATTTAACTCGTGATAAGTCTTGCGTGTAACAAGTTTGCAGAAACAAATTTTTTCAATCAGATATCAAAGATTTATCATTTTTCTTACAAGGCAATTTTAATTGCGCATGAGAATAAAATGTGACAAATGTAAGACAGATAATTGAAAAGGCAAATTTCATTGTTACAATTTGATTTACTACACAAATATCAAATGATAAATTGTCGTCAAATAATACATAAATTACTGTGAAATGCAATATCGCGACTATATGTATAATAAATTTGTAAATAAAATATTTAATCGTCGCATTCTTCATACAAATTAAAAATCGACAATAAATTTATATATGAAGAAACATGTGAAAAAACAAAGAAAAAAAGAGAGAGAAAGGAGAGCTTATTTAACATATCTTATCATGACAAAAAACAAAGTTGCACAAGTTACGTTGACAAATTAAATTTAATTTCACGAAGTATATAAGCTGGCTGTGTTATATAATCTAAATGACGCAAACGTGATCCTTATACGTGATTCTGTTCTTTGCTGGCTGCGCTTACGTTTTGGATGCGATGGTTTCTTGGTAGCCGCGCGACTTGTTGAGCCATATCAACCTCTCTCTCCTCGACAAGGAGTAAGCGAGGCGTGCACTGAATTCGCGCGTGACAAAATAGATTTTTCGAGCAGAGCATTCGCGAAAGTGGATTGATTTTCTTGCGCGCGCGAACGTATCAGCGTTTTCTCAATCAGACTGAGTGGTTGCCGTGGACGTCGCGACTTGCCTACCATCGCCGACATCGCACATGTGCTTTTAAGAAGTACAACGCCGCCTTTTCGAAAAGTCGTTCGAGCAAACGCGTCGGTTCTATACACTTATACCGCGTTTCTGATTCGATGGACCGACGATGTTTGTCGTGTGAGATCGAGAAAGCACTTGGAATATTAAAGAGTGTTTATACGCGACACTTTCGTGAAACTACCATCTCCGCCGCGAATTATTGTTTTTGGCTTACGGAAAGAAATCATTATTCGCGCTGAAGCTTTTTGAGTTTAGAAAAAAATATATAATCCGAATATTTTAATAATTCTCCCTTTCTCGCTCTCTTTATGCAATATATAAATAAATAGATGCAAAACATAATTAATATATTGTCACAATGATATATTAAACGTTTAAATATTTGTCATTTTTTCTTGCATGGATTTTTATTTCGGTTAATTTAATATTGTTTATTTTTTTTCGAGTATTATTAGTGTCGATTTTTAAATGATTCATTCATCTTGAATATTCGTTATTCTTTAAATTGTATAATTCTTAAATGTACCTCTTCTCAAGATCTATAGTCACGCAACTACGGTTGAAATAATTTATCTTGATCGCAAGATTTATCACGAGAAGAATGCATTTGCGCTTATAAAAGATGAGCATGCAATTTCTGAATATTTCGCGTCTCATTTCAATGTCGAATTGTGAAATATCCAGAGAGAAAGAGAGAGCGTTTGAAGCCCGTCCCTTTTACATCCTTTTCTCGAAGAAGACACGTTTTCGTACCTAATGCTCCCTCGTCGCGGATAGACGTTTATTCATCTTCCGGAGCACGTCTCAAAGCATTTCAGTTCTTCAGTTTGCGAAACAAGATGTGACGTTTACCCGGGTGTCCATCTCCGCGGTGAATTGCACGTGCAAAGGCGATAGTTGAAACAAAACGTGAGAAAAAAGCCATCGTTAACCCAGTTTCTTAGCTATCAATCATCACGCGATGTTCCGCGGTAGACCAGGCGTTGATAGAATTTCTGATGAAAATTGAAGAAAGATAACCATCTTTCTCCTCTACATCAGAATTATATTATATGCTTCTAGAAAATTTTGCAAATATACAATTTATACATATTTTTTTAGCAAAAATTTCATCAATTGCCATTCCTTCTCCTTTCTTTATTAACTTTTTGCATAAATATGTTGACTGAAATTAAAATTCTTAAAGTAAAGATTATTAAAATTATCTTAAATACAAGCGCTCTCTCTTTCTTTCTCAGAGTTTATTTATATTCTAAGAAATTTATATTTATATTATTAATTTAATTTATATTCCAAGATAAATCTTTTATAAATTTTTATATGTTCCATTTTTTTCAAAGTATTTTTTATAGTTAAAAACTAACTACATTTCTTATTTTATTTGCATAATAATGAGTATTAAATATATAAAAAATATAGACAAATCAAAAAACGATATTGTCAAAATCGATATGGTACATGGCATACATAAAACAAACACTGTCGGCAGTATATGCAAAATCATTAATGTGTCATGCTCTTCTCTTTTAACTGTTTTTTTTTTTAAATTTTATTGTAATTTTTATTGTAATTTCAATTTTGACTTCGCTTTGTAATAAAAAAAATTTATTCTATTTGCCTTCGAGATATATTTTTATATTAAAATCATCATTATATAAACTCGACAACTCGTGTTATTTTACGAGCATGATATCTGAACGAATTCAAAAAACGAATACACGCGGAATATCCGTCATGACATATCGATATAAGCACAACAAAGTAGAAGAAAAACATTATGTGAGAAATAAAAACAGTTGGAGTAAAGTTGGAAAAATTGAAGGTACAGCGAGCGAAACGCGAGTCGTAAAACCGCGCGAAACGGCAGGAAGCATCGCGAGATCGAGCTCGCTCCGTCAAAAGTCACGGGATAGAGATGCGAGCGGTATAAGAATCGCCAAAATGCATCGGGATCGATGTTCTTAATTTTCTCGGTCGCCGCATTGAATCGCGTTTTCCACGCGAGCGCTCCCCAAATCGCGCAAACTTCTCTCCTTATAAGAGGAATTATTCAATAGCCGTCATATATAAGATTTTCCTCCTTTGAAATGCCGCTCGTTGATCCGTGCAAAATACGCTACGCTATGGAAAAATAAATTCGGAAAAGCGTCAAACGCGAAACGTACATGCGATATGCGGCTCGCGATCGACTCCGCTTTCGCAATCGGCGCGCGCGGGCGGAATAAAAGGGTTGAAGCCGTCGTGCAAAACGCTCTGAATAAAAGACTATGTGGGTGACCCGATTTCCCCGTTATCAATCAGCGGTATTCGGCCCAGGAGCCAAGCAAGGCAGGTAGCCACCGGTACAAAGTCACCCCGATAGCGAATCGACGCGTGCGCCGCATATTTCGCGAGAAATACCTCCCGGAAGCGCGCGACGAATGAATTTTTTCTTTTTTTCAAAAAAGCTGAAAGTGCATTTTTCGCTCGTCTGTCTGTCTGTCTCTCGAAAAGTTACATTCGCAATCCATTACAATCGGATCACTTCGCGTATACGTGTCTCTCTCGCGAAATATCGTCAAGCTGTATGCGCGAGGTGCGAGAGATATGTCGCGAACAAAAAAGATAATAATTTACACGGGAGCGCATAAAAGAACACTTCGTCTGGTTGCTTTTCGCGAAATGCGCCGAAATATGTAGAGCGGATTGTGTATCAAGTTTCGATAAAATATTCGTGCTAAAATAATACACGCGTTTGCGACTCGCGTTCTACGATAGGAAATCGCATCACGTTTGCCGGAACGTATCTTTCGCTTATCAAATCGTATCAATTTCCGCCGCTCGCGGCCCACATTGTCTGTGGTTGGCAATTTGTCGATCTTTTATAACCAGAGACTGAGGTGACGATCGATAATGGAAACATCGGTGAAATTTTAGCTCTCTTGTTTTTTCAACTAATATACAATATATTGCGTTGCTGGAATTTGCACTCGATGCATCACGAAGAATAAAGTAATAGTTTTCCTCAGAATTATTTTTAATAAAGGGTGAATGATATTTGATAGATGATCTTTGATATGTCAGACAATTAATAAAATGTGTGTCGTTAGCTAATTGGACATTACAGTTATTTATAGTATTATCGAGGATATCGAATTGCTGTTATCTTCCAAATTAATATCAAATTTAATATAAGAAGATTTGAATTAAAGTCTTTATGAATCTTTATAATTTTAAATTATAAATCTGTATAAATCTTTATAATTTTAAATTATAAATCTTTTGAAGAGCACTTTTGGATTTTTAGAACAATCATAAATTAGATATATTTTATCGGATAAACTTCTCGTATAAATAATTATATATATACAATATTTAATATGAGTTTTATAATGTAAATCTATTAATCCGCCCACACATAATAACACGCAGAGAATAACGCGTGAGGAAAAAACATGTAATGTATAAAATAAAAGCGATATTCCTTTTTTCGCGCGGGATTTAATAAAGAGCCGATAATGTACGTTTAATATTCAGCATTGTCGAAAAAAATATCCATCAACATTCGTGACACGTTCGAGGGAGGTGGGCAGCGGAGAGAGGATTGCAAATTGCAAGAGATTTCCAGGAGGGTGGCGCGACATCGATGGTTTTCTGATTGACGAGCAGGCGCGGCGCGCATATCAAAAACAGTATTAATTAGCCGTCGAATCGCCGTTGATTTTCGACAAAGCGCCGACGCGGTTATAACGCGGCTATTCGTCGAACGGCTGTGTTTATCAATTAGCCACGGTGCACATGGTTGCATCCGGGTTACATGCGCATGCATGCGGAGAAAAAGTCGGCGAACGGGCCAATCGCGTTAATATCGCCGATTATCGATCGCGAACCGCCGTTTCTGATGTCACCCGCCGAATTCGCAAAGTTTCTCCTTTCATTCATTATTAACATGGTTCTGTAAATTATTACCGATATATTATTGTATACAATAGATTAATTATACAACCATCGGCCAGAATTGGCTACGTTTTATCAAAGGAAAGAGTAGCCGAATGGAAGATCTTTGCCAAGTTTAATTGCCATCGAGTGGGGCACTTCGCGGCTTAGAACGATTGTATTTAACGATCGGATTTTCTTTCACGAAAGGGAGGGC